TCGGAAACAAAGAACGATCCGGGGGTTGCATCATCTCTGGGACTTTCAAACCAAATTACAACCATCTCGAGCAGTATATTTGCTGTCTTGCAATTCTTTCCTGCCGCATTAGTCTCATGTGACACACATCTCTTTTTCCCTTCATTGTTCCCACTCTTTCTTGCAACAAAAAGGAGCAAAATAAAAGCCGCAGCCTTAAATTGGGTTCATTCTTTGATTTAGAGATAAACCTAGGTTAAATGTAGTATTTAGGCAGACATAACACAGGATAAATCAGCCCTGCTAAGTAGAAAGTAGCCTTGAGAGGCCTGCAGGATTCTCGTTGAGCAGATAAATCAATTATCTCATTAGATGAATCTCTTGAGTCATTTAAGTTGATCCTTTTAGACCATATTTGAAAAGGAATGATAATATGAGCATGTTTTTTGCTGGTTTTGCTAGACTTATGTCTTGAGGTTTTTTGATTTTAGCTAAAATAGTTTAGCCAAATAGTTTTAGCTAAAGTGAGGAACTATTCCAAATTGGTCCTTGTTTAACTCAAAATAGTGGGCAGTTTTTCCCATGATTGCATTGATTTAAAAACAAACAAACAAACACCTGAGGGTTTAAAAAAAAAAACTATACATTTTTTGGTCTGTTTTACCTAGAGTGTGAGAAACTTAAACTAAATGGAAAAGTTGAGAGTTTGAAGAGAATAGGTAGTTGATTAATGGTAAATATGTCTTTATTGACTTCATTTATCGTGTTAGATCTGGTAGTAAAAGAACCCTCCAGATGGTCCTTTAATGTTCCTTTCAGTACTAAGATTTTGTGAAACATCTTTCAAAGAGGAGTAGGTGGTGTAGGAAAAAAATAAATGTGCTATTTTAGCTTCTAGGGAGGGGAGAGGGAAGCAATTATTTTTAGAATATGTTCTAGTTACACCCAGTTTTAGGAGAAATAGAAGAGTGTATTTTAATGTCAGTGAATCCTTCAGGGTGACGAAGTCTGTGGAAACACAGCTTTCAAATCCTTGTCACTGTGATTCCAGAGAGCAGACATGTAGTTAAAGCATGTGTGTGGGTGTGTGTGTGCACTTGCTCACATGTATGTTACCACACAAATGGAGGTGGGGGTGGAAAGCACGAACATAGCAAAGTTTCTTGGATAACACACGGCTAGACTTTGGTCCATTATGTATGTGAAAGTGCTGCCAAGTTTAGCATTCCTTATGCTGGGGGAGCTAGAGAGAAAGTAGTTGAAACACAGGAAAAGATGAAAAAAAAGATGAGATTAATTAGAGAAAACTATTGAATCGCTATTAATGTGATAGCAAGGGGTAACTGGGCAAGCTAACTGGAATGTTTCCCAAAAAATTACGGCAAATGTGAGCTCTACCATAGCAGAAAATCTTAGTGCTGAGCACTCTTCCTCGATATTTTAAGGAGGATTACATAATTTTATAATCATATTTTCTCGTGATGTAAACCATGATAATGCACGTACGATACAGGATAAACTTGAGTCCCAGCGGATGTCTCGCCGTGGACTCTGTGTGCCAGAGCATTTCCCCCACTTTGGGTCGCACCCGCGATTTAAGTCTGTCTGGAACCATCCCTGCTCCAGTCCACGTACGGCATGCAAGCAGTGGGTGCTTGGGGATTTTTAATAAAAATTGCCTTTCATCCAGACTTGAGGTATTTAAACAAATATTGATTCTGGATGTGAAAGGGTAGTTTCTGTAGCTAGAGCGGCTCCTTCCAACATATAAAAAACAGTAATAATTGGGTGTGGACTTCACATACCAATTTATATGTTAATTTGATGAAATGTGTATCTATTATAGTATCAACTTTACAGTATTTATTTAAATGTGAAAGAATGAATGAATCCACCCACAAACTCCTTTGTGGATAGGGTTATGGATCTGGTTTATGCGGAGTTTGGAAGTTAAACAGACAAAACGTCTGCGGGCTCGATGCTTGCTTTCTCCCCTCGCCCACTTTTTTGCGACAGCCCTCGGCTGCTGTCCATGTCCATGCCTCCTCCGCTCTTCACCCTGCACCCCCCCC